TGCTGAATCATTTCTTAGTGATTGTTTAGTAATAATCAAAAAGTGTGTTAGAAGGATGGCATTGGGTTGTGTGGGTAATGAGCAATGAGGAGAGGAGAGATGTTTGTGCACTGTTATCTGTGTATGCAGTAATTATTTAGTAGTTGTAAACAAAAGATGTCCCTATATGCTTGCCTCTGGTTAAATGTAAGTACTTAAATCTAGGGCAAAGAATGCAGGCTATACTTACTTTGGTGTACTTGCATTAGTGAATGCAGGCTGTACTAGTTTATATCATCCCAGTATGAAAAGGATGTGTATGTCATGGCTTGCTGTAAAATGGATGATGGCAGTTTTCTCTACCTTGAGAGTTATTAAAGGAGGGTGGTTGAAAGAAGGATTCGGATAAGTCTATTTGAGTATCAAAGAGAAGGTTAAGGAGTGTTGTGATCACACAGCTGGTAAATGCCTTTGAGATGACATGCATTTGATAATCTGAGCTCTTCAGGAAAGCAAACAAGAACGTATCAATGACTTGATATTCATAGAATAATATCAAAGAATGGTTTGGGTTGGAAGGGACCTCAAAGATCATCCAGTTCCAGCCCCCCTGCCATGACAGGGACACATCCCACTAGACCAGATTGCTCAAGGCTCTATTCAGCCTGGTCTTGAGCACTTCCAGGGATGGAGCATCCACAACTTCCTCAGACAACCTGTTCCGGCATCTCACCACCCTCAGGGTGAAGAACTTCTTCCTTATATCTAGTTTAAACCTGCCCTCTCCCAGCTTCCAACCATTACCCCTCATCCTGTCACTGCAGGCCCTTGTAAAAAGTCACTCCCCAGCCTTCTTGTAGGCCTCCTTCACGTACTGGAAGGCCACTCTAAGGTCTCCCCGAAGCCTTCTCTTCTCCAGGCGGAACAAGCCCAGGTCTCTCGGCCTGTCCTTGTAGGAAAGGTGTTCCAAACCTCTGACCATCTAGGTAGTCCTCCTCTAGACTCACTCCAGCAGCTCCATGTCTTTCTTGTGTTGGGGCTCTAGAACTGGAGGCAGTATCCAGGTGAGGTCTCACGAGGGTAGAGTAGAGGGACAGAATCACCTCCCTTGACCTGCTGGCCACACTTCTCTTGATGCAGCCCAGGATACAATTGCGCTTTTGGGCTGCAAGTGCACACTGTTGACTCATCCTATCATCCACCAGCATGCCCAAGTCCTTCTCCACAGGACTGCTCTCCATCCACTCCTTGCCCAGCCTGTATCTGTACTTGGGATTGTCTTGACCCAGGTGCAGGACCTTACACTTGGCCTTGTCAAACTTCATGAGGTTTGCACAGGCCCGCCTCTCCAGCCTGTCCAGGTCCCTCTAGATGACCTCCCTTCCCTCCAGCGTGTCGACTGCACCACACAATTTGCTGTCGTTGGCAAACTTGCTGAGGGTCCATGTCGCCGACAAAGATGTTAAATAGCACCAATCCCATTACCAATCCCTGAGGAACACCACTTGTCACTGGTCTCCACTCAGACATTGAGCCATTGATCACAACTGTTTGAGTGCAACCTTCTAGCTAGTTTCTTATCCACTGAGTGGTCCATCCGTCTTTGCAATTTGAAGACCACGATGTCGTGCAGGACAGTGTTGAAGGCTTTGCACAAGTCCAGATAGACGATATCAGTTGCTGTTCCCTTGTCAGTTGATGCTGTAACTCCTTCATAAAAGGCTGCCAGATTCATCAAGCAGGATTTTCCGTTGGTGAA